TCTAAATCTCCATATCTGGATCCACATCTGCATCCCACTCCACTTGCTTATCTAGCTCAAGATCTTCCTTAAAATTGAAATATGAAAAATGTTAAAAAGCTCAGAAAAAAAACTCTCTCAAACCCAACAAAGTATTGAAAACATGAAATAGGTACGTCTCACTTTGCAAAATAACATAAATAATTTTGAATTAAAACAATGACAATTGATAAGATATCAGATTTATTGTAAATGCAATAAAATTCATGAATAAATAAGATCAGTTCTCACGCCATATATATAAACACAATCAACATATATCTCATGTATATTTGTAGGTTGGCTAACATAAATCCATACATCAAGAATATCCTGACCCCCCTACACCCAATCAACAATACAATCCTCGCAAAGATGACTCATTTTCAAGAAGTGTGTATACCAACACATCGACATTAACATAACTTCCCAATAATAGTATACTAGCCCTCCGCCTTAATTACTATAAGCGAATAGTGGTTTGGTCCTCGCAAGACACCAACTTCATTACTAATGTTAGAAAACCTTCAAATCCCTCAAGGTAAGAAACTCATCTACACCCCTCTATGATATCCGATTGACTTTAAGCCACATTAATCACACCCACCCTACAAGAGATACTTTCCACAAATTTTTCATAAAATCCAACAACAATCAAGAATCATGATTTCATAACATTTCAAAAGGAATAACTCGAGAAAACATCCAAGAGATCTTCAATAAACATATTTACATTAGGGTTTTAGAAATCAAGAACATGTGAGTTTTAATATAAAACATGGATAAGTGAGGTTATAACTCAAGAACTATGATTTTTCGATAAGGAATACATGAATCTTGAATAGAAATTATTTATATTCAAGCAACGATTCACATTATTGAAAAAAATTCCCAATTATTGTCTATCTAACATATATATAAAGATTGAAAGCATATAAATAATATTCTTAACCTTAATCTTGAATTTGAGAAAGAAATCGTATCTTTTAGTCCATAAATTGCGTGATTCTACGTATTTGATGCGATCTACATGTGTTAATCCTTGCGTTTTATCTCTTTCTTCCTCTCTTTCTTGTTCTTAGTGTTTCCTATGCTTGTTAGGAGTGAAAAGTAGGTAAAAGGACGTCAACATGGGGCCCTAAGGTATTTATAGGGGTGAAAAATGGAAAAAAACCCTAAAAACTGACCAGGGCGTTTTTTAGTGAAATGTCTAAATGGTCGAATGCCACCAAGTCACCAACTCTTTGCTTTGCACAATTTCACTTTCTAGTCAGGCATTCGAATGCTGGGGTTGGCGCTCAAATGCTCCCAACTCACTGGTTCTGCTTTATTCTGCCAAGAATGTAGAATTTCATTTTTTGGATTGGCGTCCGAACGCCGATGAATTTTTGTTCATACTTTCAGCTCAAGTTTGACATAATTAGAAGCCGATTTATGAAAATTCTATGCAATACACTTTTGTAGACTTTAAAGTCTAGTTTATACTGTTCAAAAATCATATCAATCGGAGTTTGAAATAAAAAATTATAGACAAAATATTAAGATAATATCAAATTTCTTCCTATCCGAATTCTCTCCAATATACATTTTAGCTTCGAAATACTTTTAAATTTATAATACACCTCATATTACCTCTATCAAGGTTTCTCAATCTTACGGATCTATTTTTAATGTTATTTTTCTCTAAATATGTTTAAAACTTAACTAATCTTATTTTTTCTGAGAATGACCATACCAAAACTTCAATCTTTCCAACATATTTACACTATTCTACAATTACCACCTAAATAGTTTATTCTTTCTTAATTCTTCTTACATCAACACAATACATGATAATTTAATATAACTTAAAATAATTTCATGGGGCTTACAAAATACAAATACTATTCACAACTTTTCATGCACAGTAATATATCATATTCATTACTATTTGACATATGCATCACTATTTTGGATTATGTGTCACTATTTATGTGTAGTTAACATTATTCATGCACAGTTATCATCTACAATATGCATTTACAACAATAATGTGCTTTAGAAACTTAATGTCTTTACAATTTTCTTCTATCCTCCCACCATGTGCCAAACATATGTCAAGTTCAGTGGTACACACGTGAAAAATTATTTAACTTTCTTTTTAAAGAAAAACTAACACAAAAATCTGTTTTAGTTGGATTCTAGAGTTTTTTGGAGGCCGGTTTCTGCTCAATAGGATTCTTAAAAAAATCCACTTGCTAATTTTCTTTTGGATTAAGTGTCTGTTGAAAGGTTAAAGCAATAGACATAACTACCGCCTTTAAAAATTACAAAAATGACGATAATGTCATCACCTAATTAAAATATATATTCTAAAAAGTTAAATCATCATAATGTACATTTTTCTCCATAAATACAGATCGTCGAACATGTACACTAAAAAAATATATAAATTGTTAGACTAATACATTAAAATAATATAATGTACTTTCTTCTATATAAACAAAGATCTTTAGATAGGTACAGTAAAACAAATGTCGTTAGACAGGTGCGCTAAAACACATTTCATCAGACAGATACACTAAAATACAGATTGTTAGAAAGGTACGCTAAAATATAGATCGTCATACAGGTATATTAAAACACAGATTATCAAATAGAAACCCTAAAAGTTAACCAACTATTATCAAACCTTCAAATTCAAGGGCTCAAAAAATCATAACAATCGGTCAAAAACCCATAAAAATTACTCCACTATATTCAAACCTTAAACCGAGCTCATTATAAGCAAAATCAATCTTTCTTTACTCCTTCAAACACCCATTTGTACTCATTTCATAATTTTGCCTTTTTCTCGGCAGTGAAATCATTTACAACATTAGATGTTCGACGAACATGATCGAAGATGACTGCACTTCGAACATGATTCCACAACCCAACGTGGACAACAAAACTTTGATTTAGATCATAGAGTATCTCAAGAAGCACGCATATTCAACAATTTCGAAGAAAAATATGAACAAGCTTGATTCCAATTTTGTCAAGAATGAACATAGATCGTTAGGTTGAAAATTATATGATGAGGAAAAAATGGGAAATGAAAATACAGTAACTGCCCTACCCCTTACTATTCGCATCAACATAGAGACTACATGTAAGTTTTTTCAAAATATGGACCCTAGCCTACTTAACTATTCTTTTTTAAGGTCAGTTGGGTTGGCCCAACTAAACGACAATATTTTATGGAAAGAAAAATGTCGTTTGATAACTATTTCTCAAATGAGGGACCCTAGCCTACTTAACTATTCTTTTTTTAGGTCAGTTGGGTTGGCCTAACTAAACGACAATATTTTATGGAAAGAAAAATGTCGTTTGATAACTATTTCTCAAATGAGGGACCCTAGCCTACTTAACTATTCTTTTTTTAGGTCAGTTGGGTTGGCCCAACTAAACGACAATATTTTATGGAAAGAAAAATGTCGTTTGATAACTATTTCTCAAATTGTTTTGAAAGATTTTTTTTTTTTGTTACGAAATTGTTCCCAAATCAATAAACTGAAGAATTAAAATTAGACATCTAGCCCTTGTTTTACATGAACCTGTAAATTTATTCAAAGACACATGAGTTTGAATAGCTTTCGAATGGCTAAGCTCCCAAAATTTTGTTTCGAGGGCATGATCGCCAAGTACGCCTCTGTTTTTTCGCTGGGTTTTGCCAAGTACGCCTTGTATAATAAACATATTGAGAACCCAAATATAGAAGCAATAAAAGCAGTTGTGCACATAATTCTTGAACCTTGTAGTAGCCCAAAGAATATTGGCATCCGTTTTTTCTTTCAAAGCTCTTTCAATCACTTGCTCTATAAACTCATGCTACAATGATAGCTCTGGATGCAGACGATCACCCATGAGTCATATGTATCGAGAAACACTAGATTCTCCTAATTTACTCATTGGATGTTGAGGAGTGTTTGATATTTATGCATCTTCAGTCCCTATTCTTTTATACTCTCGTTATATTCTACAAGTTGTTCGAATAACTCTTAACCATCACTTGCTTAAAAAAGAAACAACAGTTGTATATGGAACATAAAACATTGTATGACATTATTTATAGATTACAACAATGTTTTGCACAGAGTATCTTCCGAATGACATGATTCCAAATCCTCCTTCATTTTTCTTTTTGCTTTTTTTTTCCTGCTCAAAAACTTGTTTAAAGAAAATCTTTTCCTGCGAGCAACGTAATGGAAAATGTCGCATAAACAATGGCATGATTGTCAGAGTGCCAAATAAAGGCTAAGTACATCTTTTTTTTTTTTCTGCACACTTGCGCGTGTGTTGTGAAGAGCATATAAATAAGTATGATAATTGAGCTAAGCTACTTTGATTCAGCTTGGATTTGACTCATCTCAGCTCAGATAAGATTCGACTCAAGCTCAACTCGTATACTAAACAAACCAAGTTTGGACAATTTTTTAAGTTTATTTAAAAAACAAATATAAAAGACCTAACTTAGACTTACAAAACTTGACTTATTTATATGAAAAATTATCAAGTTAATCAGGCTCGACTCATTTTCTAAGCAAGCCAAAATTAAATAATTTATTAAACTCGTTTGAAAAAACAAGCTCGACTCTGACTCAAAACTCTGGCTTGATTATCAGCCCAACACATAAGGGATGCAACTTATACAACCAAGCATTATGAAGCACATACAAAAGAAGAGCAAGGATGATGCATCAACAATTTCGTTAAGTTTGCTTATTTCGAACTAATGAGACTCGTAATGATGCAAAATAACTATCGTAAAGAAAAAAAGAAGGCATCAAAATGTATCCACCAAAGTTTTTCTAAAAGAAAATTACAAGCAGAAGTCCAACAATATTGAAGAACTGGCCAGAACCAGTTCTACCATGGTACTCTGGTTCTCCTCTTGATTATGTCATGAGCTTGAAGGTGTTGAAAACAAACTGCAAAATTCACCTGCTTTAATTAAGCAGTCTCGAAGAGACAATTTGCCCAGTATTGTTCTTGCTTATTGATAATCTGTCTGAAATATAAATGTCAATGCATCGGACGAGGAGTAGTGCAAGCAAGATATGGTCAGTATCTAAAGCACCATTGCCGCAGCATAATTGTTGTTCAAATTTACAAAAATTCATATCATAATACCTACACAGCTTAAACTTTCTGCTTTTGAAAAGAATAATTATCAATCGAACAACAATCATATATTGTAGTTTCTGAGCATGCCCAAGTGAAATTTACTCTGCATGTACAAAACGTTATATCTGTTGCAGCCCACCTAACTGAAGCGGTAGTCGTCAACTTGGTCATGCGTTACTAATATATCTTCTGGGAGCCATTTACGGCCAGCAATTAAGGCTAATGGCCTGGATTCTAGTAGGCACAACAAAGCACTGTTTCTCTCTCTCTCTCCCCCCCTCCACACAATTATAGAGTGGAGGACGCTGTGGATTTGCCTACCTTGTCATCCCGAGAGGATGGAGGTGGCAATGATGAAGATGAGACCACTGCATGATAAGATGATGATGCAAGTTGAGCGACTGCTGGAACAGCACCACCTACACAATGCCAAGCAAATGCACAGGCATGTTACAAGTCCAGCCAATACCATAGCAACATGATCAGCCATTACAAAAGCATAACACTCGAAGTTAGTAGAAAGAACAATATCCCAACATGCAAATGAGTGCCAACTACAGCAAGTATCTCAGTCTGCATTTGAGTGCCATGATCTTTCAATTGTTGTTACCCACAACGAATGCAAACCCGGGACTAAAAACCTGAATACACTACACCATTTTTTTTTTTTGGGGGGGAGGGGGGGAAGGAGAGGGGGACTTGAACCTTTGATCTCAAGAAAACAAAGTCTTCACAAGGTAAGGAGTACCATTGGACCAAAAGTCCGTTGGTTGAATACACTACACCATTGCTTCCCCATATCGCTCTGATTTAATTTGGTTCAGTCTGGCCAAAACAACTGTCAATAGTGAACTGGTAAAAACCTATAGAATAAATGCCAACACTCGGGAAACATCGAGTAGAGGAAACAGTAATTTCCCATTCCAAATCTCAAAAATGATAGAGGAGCTTTAAAAACCACTATACCAATGCCCAAGAGGCAACTAGAAACTAGTAATCAATCTGAAACAGAATTCACACTCCAACACATCAAAAGATCATTCATAAGAACACTAGAACCAAACAGTAATTGACAAAGCATCTGTCAACAAGAACTTGTCCCAGGCACTACAGGACAAAGGAAGACAAACTCTGAAAAGGAAAACATGTTGAAAACGCAGCCTACAGATGGCACACAGGCAGGAAATAATATAATTAATTCTTCCCCTTCCATACTAAGATATATGAGGAAAGATCACATGTTTCCTTGTTCTTTCAAACATGTCACTGATCTCAAACCTTTTAAAGGAAATGATATATCTAATCTGATAATTTTTTGACACTTGGCAGACAAATCATATTATGCAAAGTGACAGTTCTTGTATCAAGGAGCTAGAAAACGGGAAGCTATGACCTTAACAGTGAATAACAAAGGGATCATGGTAATGAGTCCAAAATTCTATCGAGGGATAGAACTAAAATACACTTAATGACCTCAACAGAAAAGTACAAAATTGGGACCATTAATCCAGTTGTGCTTGAAGTTTTGTAACTAGCTAAAATATTTAAGAAAAAGGGCACAGCTTTTGCCGTAAAGGAATTATAATACCAGAAAGCATGCAAAAATCACAAAAGACACATTAGACAAATCATCTTTCCACTGCAGCTTATTCCAACGCTTGATCCCACACAGAATGGAAGGGCAGCAAATGGCCAACTACAAAGTTAGATGGAATTGACCAGAAGTTCCCACCCATCCTCATATACCTTAATATCACCACCCTCCTACAACTTGCAATTGGCATTTGGTGGTTTGTCCAAACAACACAAAGCTACCGAGCACACATATATGCACGGTATGCACCACGAATCCATATTTCTGAGGTTGATGGACTCTTTCACAAAGACCAATTATATCTAATCTAGGTTAGAAGAATGCTTGATCTCTTGCTAATAGATTAAGGTTCATAACTTAGTGCATTGCATGAGATACATGTAACATTTTTCAATTTTAATAATTAATGCAGCTAGAGAATATTTCCATAATTTATAACCATTAAGAAATACTAACCATCAACAATAGAACAAAGTTGGTTTCACAAAAATAACTAATTAATACCGATTATAAACATAATTAATATTGATTAAGAGAGTCAAGACAAGAAAATTGAATAAACATATTCCATACAATTTATAGGTTGTTTCAGTCAAACATAGTCAGAAATAATCATGGGTGCCTTAAATTTATTGATTAGTTGCATTACTCTTGTTAAATTAACTCTTTTAACTTTTTCACAAGAAAAAAAAAATCCCAGGGTTGCACAGCTTGCACAAAAAAGAAAATATGTAAAAATCCTCTGGAATATGATTCTTACCTTTGGAGAGAAATGTTCAAAAAATAACGTTAATTAGAGATTATTGCCATTGTCACAAAATACTGCAGGATTTAACTGCAGGATTTATTGGTACCTAGTACACTTCGAAACAACTAGAGTGTGAAGTGATAACCGAAGTGTGACATGGCAGCCTCGGAAGATTATGATCATCAACATGTCTTTCAGTGCAAATTATGCGTCCAAAAAAACGCATGTATCTCGTTCACTTCATTTCTTAGGACGTGTATGAAGAAGACATTTCTTTGACATTGAGGAACATGCTAAAGAATGTGTTCTTGTCACAAAAAATTTGTAAAACTTCTACAAGAAAGAAGTGTGTTTATTATCTGTATGGCTCGAAACACACAAAATTTCTCATGAATAATTTTGGCCTGAACATTAACTTGTAGTCACATCCTTCTAAACAGCATTCTAGAAACAAGGAAGGATATCTGGCACAGAGATTCTATGCAGGGAAATGAATTTAACTATTCGAAAACTACTCCTATAACAACCCACTCTTTCTACAATTTCTCTGGAAGAGTTCTCTTTTTATGGCATGGGGAAGGTGAGGGGAGGGGAAGCTGGGATATCTATTGCAATTTTGTTATTCAATAAAGATATTAATAGAATGAGCTAAAAAGGGGCATAATGGCTTTAGTGTAAAGGCATCCATTAGGATCATAGTTCCACAGAACTCACTATGCTTAGTTTCCCCAACAATATTGAATGATTGATTGGGCAAGGAGAGCAAAAAGGGAGTACTGTAACTAGAGAGTACACATAAGTAAAAGTATACAGCAAATATAGCTACTCTATTGAGAAAAGTCTAACCTGCCAACCCTGCACAAGCTGAAGAGAAAACTATCACAGGTGGAGCCTGCATCCATAAAAATATGTCAGAAAGGGACACCACCATCACCACTAGTAACAACAACAAAGTGAACACAAATAAGGACACCTCTATGTACTTTAAAAGCTTCTTCAAACTTCAACAGCATAGCATGTCAAAGAATGAGTCATACCAAAGCACATATCACAAGATCTCGACCTAGCACTATATAACCAATTAACATACAGACACCTGAGGGATAAGAAGGGAAGCCAATTTCAACCAACAAACAATTCTTAAATTCTTTTGGAGGCAAACTTGTTCTTCGGACTGAATGTCAGATGAAATTGGGAAAAACTAATGATGGCACTCTGGAATAGACTAAATGACCACCACTCACCCTATGCTAATTTTTTTGTTTCTGGTTCACCTTTTTTATGACAATATCTTCCAACTCATATTCGTTCATTTCCAACTATACATAAGTGCCCTAATCAAAATCTACCACTTTTTTTGTGAAGACAACTATCACTACTTGGTATTCAAGTTTGTCACAGCACCCCAATATGTCAAAATTGACATATTATGACAATCACATTAAATTATAATTAAGCTTAGTATGTTAGATGATGCATATTGAAAGAGAAAAAACCGATACACGTGATAGGAGAATCACATCATGGAGACAGAGAGAGAGGGGATTAGAATTGTAATAAATAGGTATGTACATTTTCTGGCATGGTAACTCAAAGGAGGCTTTCACAAACCTGTCTGAAAGCGCGATTGAAAAGAAGGAAGCAATGGGGAACCATATGAGGTTCTACACAAGTGGACTGGTTTCAAGGCAATATGTCATAGGTTCGAGTCCGAAAATCAATCACTTCAAACTGGAGGGAAGGCTGCCTACCACTCACTTCTCCAAGACCCTGCTGTATGCAGGAGTTTTTAAAGGTGTTGTATTCCCTAGTCTACATAACAATGCTCTGCACTGGTAGTTATCAAATTATAAAGATAAGAACATTTCGCAGGGCTCCATTAAGCAAGGATGTTGTATTACTTTCACAGAAAGGCATTCTTGCGATCCTAAGGCTACCACTAAAGTCATGTTTTCCACAACTTGAGACATAAATTGGACCAACATAAAGAGGAGGAAAGTTTACCTAAAGGATGCCTTGGCCAATGTAAAAATAGGCTTAAAGATAATACCTAAAACCTTAAAAGCTTACTCTACACAATTTCTAGTGACGTTTTTCTTAAATTTCCTGGAAGCAAACTACTTCAAATCAAGCAAGATCCAACCTAGATCACATAGAGCAGGTGCAGGGCGAGAGCGGGAACACAAAAGTGAATTTTTTAAAAAAATTCTTAGAGCTGGAGCGCCTTGAAAGCATTATACTATATACATACATACATGTTTACATATATAAAAATTATTAAAAATACACTTTAAAAATTAAATTGTATATACAACTATATGATAAATTATTAATTTTTTTTAACTATTGATTTGGATTTTGAATCCCGCATAAAAATAATAAAGTGAATAATCAAACAAAAAGTCTCAAGGCATTTCAATGCCTTGTTCCACATCAACAAGTGTTGAGAAATCCACAACCACAAAGGCCTATATAAGGTGTTTAGCTCCTCAGTTGAATTTACAATGAGCCTAGGTGCAGCCATTAGCTGTAAAGCACCATATGAGTACAGCTGGAGGCAATAAAATATTTTGTTTGATTGGGACTGAGCCGGGAGTTTATAGCCTTAGCTTGGGCCTTATGTAAAGTAAAATTCTTTTTTTTATTGAAGTTCATAGAAACTAACGAGTTTAATTAGTTGAGTTCGCGAAATCAACTAATTAAATGTACGAATTTACAGTGAATTCGCTCCCAATTCATGAATTTACACGTAGAGCAATGGAGTGTGAGTGGTGTATGACGAATTGTGTGACTCAAGATCCAACCCTCTAGCATCCGCAAAGCGTACAAGCCTTACTTCCACATTATACAACCATTTCCCTAGAAGGTCCTCATAACCTAAGGCACAAAAGAAACTAATTGTAGTCGGCTTTAATTCTAGTCCCATAGAGCTTGCCTATTTCAGACGATTTAAGAAATATAAATCCCTAATCAATCAAGTTCATAGTATATGGGAATTTGAATTCAACCCGACAAGAGAATCCGTGAAGTAGGCAAAAGGGGACAGATAATTCCTAAGGTATCAAAGGCACAAACTTAAGAAGAATCAGCCTCTATTTTGAATATTTGAGAACTTGGATATTTTATGATGTTTGCATTTTTTGAATATTTGCTTATAGTTTGTGTTTTTTGATGTTACACCATATTCTGAAAAATCATTTGCATGTTATCTATAACCTGCGCCTTACTTCGATGAGGCCTATGCCTCACCTTGTGCCTCACTCCTATGCCCTAAGGGACCTTGGCTCCTTAGTGCGCCTTGCACATCAAATAACACTAAACATGGCAATAGAAGATCTTTACAAAGTCCAAATACTTTCGCCCTCCCACTTTATAGCATGTTTAAGTCTGATAGGACTACAAGTGATATTGAGAAAGGCACAAATACAAAGTCACATATCAAATAACCGAGGTCTTACAAAGAAAAAGAATCAAACAAAATAAGGACAAGAACACTTACACCAATGAGGAAATGCAACCACATAGGTCCTTTAACCCTCCTTCGAACAATTGGCATCACTGGAAAAAGAACCAGAGAGAGAGTTAGGACAAAAAATATAACTGTGAGGATGAATATGTTATATGTGTCAAATGTTATACATCCAATCAGGTTAAATGCTCCTACAAAACAAACACATGCTACTCATGAAGAAACTAGTCTTCAAACAAACATGAAGAATAACAATAACAACAACAATAATAACAACAAGAAGTCAAGAACAATAGCATTAATAACCACCATAACAAGAAAAATGATAATGGAGAGGATGATAATTATATTAGGCTGCACATATTGCTATAGTTGTAAAAGTTCCTGTCAGAGGACCTAAAAAATAAAATATCGAAACGACAAATCTACGGTCTATGGTTAAAGAATCCACCAAGGCATCATTCCAGCTCTTTGACCAATCCCTATTTTTAGGCAACTAGGATATCTGCTTCACATTCTTGTTCTAATTGTTAGGCACATCATTAATCAAATTACACTCTCTTAGCCCTTATTATTTGCCCTTGAAGTAAGCTACTGGACAACCCCACATCCTCACTTTAAAATCCAACGTTAGATTCCAAAAAACTCACAATATATCCATCTGCCTATCTTTATTAGGTGCATATCGTCTCCGCAACTATAGCATCAAAGCTTAGTCATCAACGAAGTAAGCAAATCTGTTTGTGGAGAAAACAGAGGCTGATCAACATAATATGGAGGCTTACGTCTGGAGATGCCTTCGCCCCCAAGGAGTGCATCTCTTTATTTACTTTGGTTGAGAGGGTTCTGTAATGGGATAGGGTGGTGGCAATTGGACAAATTAGCAACAGCAAAGTAAACATACCGATCATTTTTCGATTTAATTCAAAACACACACACACACACACACACACAAACATATATATATATACACACATCTCTGGTTTTTTAATAGACATGAGCTGAGATTAGATTTTGTATGCTCTAAATGTGGGAGCACACTTTGACCATGTTTGTTAA